CTTCAACATTGATTACTATTCGCAATTAACATTGATTACTCTTCATATTTAACATTGATTACTCTTCTCCTTCAACATTGATTACTATTCACATTTAACCTTAATTACTCTTCACTTCAACATTGATTACTCTTCTCCTTTAACATTGATTACTCTTCTCCTCCAACATTGATTACTCTTCACATTTAACATTAATTACTCTTCACTTCAACATTGATTACTCTATTCCTTCATCATTGATTACTCTTCTTCAACATTGATTACTCTTCACATTTAAGATTGATTTCTCTTCACCTTTAACATTGATTACTCTTCACCTTTAACATTGATTACTCTACACCTTTAACATTGATTACTCTTCACCTTTAACATTGATTACTCATCTTTTCCTAGAAGCATCCAATCCTATGTAATATGAACTTTACGGTTCACGTCATTTAGCCTAGAATCCAACAAGCCATCTTACACAAGTGGGCAAGGGAATTCAGTGAAAGAGTTGTGTCCCTTGGGCATGCCACAAATCTGTGATTGTGGGTTCGAATCCCGGTTCGCCCCGAATATTTTTCTTGAAGTGTAAGCACCATATGCTACCGGGTTTCTTAAAACCCTCAATGACTCCCTGCTTTCTTTGTTGGAAAGGTGTTCTACCCATGAAGATCCGGGTTAGAATTGATCTTCAATAACCCATGCTTGTAAGAGGCGGCTTACGGGGTCGGGTGGTCAGGCTCGCTGACTCGGACCATCATATCCAATAGCGTAGATTGATGCTCATACTGTTGATCACAGGATTGTCTGGTCCAGGATGGATTATTTACAGACCGCCGCCATATAGCTGGAATATTGCTGAGTGCGGCGTAAAACTAAACTCAGTCACCCACTCACTGTTGGAAACGTGTTCTGCCCATGCAAATCTAAATTTGCAGAAACCAGAGAGGCACCGCAGATACTTGTGAAGAAAATCGTAAACTGGTCCATCATGAACCCACAGTGAAGGGATTCTGAAATTACTCATGCTTGGGTGTATTCTTAAAGTGGTTTGTCAAGACTCCAGCCTCATCTAGGGCTTAGCTTTCACATGTAGACGCCCTTTTACATTGAAGTGGATTCCCGATGTAAGTAATATGTTACATCGAAAATCCATTCACTCACCCTAGACATAATGCATTTGTATCTATGTATATCATCTGATCTGATCTCTGATGCATATCACAGGGTTGTTTTGATGTCGTCCTTTTGTGTGTCATCGCGTACATATGGCCGACGGGAAACTAGCTCGAAATTAAGATGAAATGTACGTTGACGAAAACGAAGGAATAGGTTGAGTTCAAACTTCTTTAGTTACACGACAAACAAATACACAAGACATAAATGAGGTGAGCGGACTTCCTGCTCAACCCCAGGGCGTCTCCTACGAGCGGCATTATCCTGCTCGCGGTCGTCCCTAAACAGACAGTCGGAATACCGGACTGCTTGACAATATAGATGTGAGCATATATACAGTTTTTTGAGATGTGATCATATATACAATTTTTGACAACAACGGACAGGCGAAGACTCAACAATGGACAGACAGAGAAACAACAGCACTTCCTTGGACCAGTTGATGTGACGGCAGAAACGGCCAAGAGGATGACCAATCAAGGTTATAAATGTCATATACAGTATTTAATGAACGTGGTACAGGGTGGTACAGGGTGGTACAGGGTGGCCGACAGGACAATGTACGATGCGGTAGTGCTAAGGATTAAGACTGCACATTAGCGTCATATAAATAATTACAATTAAGTCCCACGTGGCTTGGCTACATAGTTTTTGGTTTTCAGGAATATTTGGACTATGGTATCCTGAATTAGATGCTATGACAACTGCAATAAAGCCCATGTCGATCACGTGGCCAAGAACAGCGACAGCGACACATTGTTTTGAACGTAACGATATAAACTCACGTTGTTTTGTTTCTCAAAATTGAATTTCGAACGAGGAGTGAGAAATCAGGACATGAGGCCCATCCATTACAGCCACAATACCAGGGACTAAACCTCTTAATGCCAACCTAAACCAGGACCTACAGTTAATGGAGACTAACCATTTGTAGGTGCATAGATATTCTAACCCCAAGAGCCCATGCAATGGGAAATCCATAAACAGTAATCATCATTGCTGACGCGAGGCGCGGAGTCAGAGAAAATTGCTGAGATATTTGGTATCAAATTGGAGGTAGAGGAAGCAATTAGGACGGGCTGTAGACCCATCCTTCCTTCTTGATTCTCAACCATTAATTCAATCACTAAAATCAAAGATTACGGACGTATCCGACGGAGGACTAAGAAGTTACAACATTCCATGCTTGCAGGCAAATTGCGAGTTTTTCTCTGACAGGGAGTTATTTCCCTTTAATTGAATCCTTCCTCCCTTTGGCAGGACTCGCAGGGATCATTCATTATTTCGGTTTGTGCAACCCGAGACCAATCAATTCTCATCTTTCAACACGGGGATCTCTTGTCACTTGCTTTTCAAGGGAGTATGGGGAGACGAGATGGGACGTCGGCCGCCATTTTGATTCATCGAGTTTCATATCAAGGTCATGACCCCTGTGTCGTCTGTCCGGAACTGATTAATCATGATGTTTCCTTGAGTTGGAGTTGTGCTTCTTTTGTAAATCCAGACAATACCCCCTGGGCGTTGATAAACGGATTGAAAGGGTATGATGAAAAAACAATTTTCACCCACAAATCTTGTTTAAAGTGATCCTATCTTACTCACAAATGCCTCGCGGTATGTTCCGGGATCTGTTTGAAACTGATCGTGATTTCGAAATATTTCGAATATGAAACCTAAATTTGCCGGTATTTAGTTAAGGATTTAATATTCTCAGTTTCATATCATAAGCACACAGTATGCATAAGAACAGATTGTTAGTGTTGGATTTCACGCCAACAAACATAAGGCTGACATATCACATCGCAAATACGATTTACTGTTATGACACAGGTTGAAACCTTTGAATTTCTCATGAAATAACGCCACGAGCAACCAAAACAAATATTTAGACCATGGGTCCATGATTTCACTGGTGGTCCTTTAATTGGGTGAGTTCCCCATCCTGAAAGCACGCCGATATGTGTCAAGACGAATTATCACTCAAATGTGGTTCTCTAGGGATCGGGGCCGGTATAATCAATCTTAATCAGCTTCTGTGTTCACAGCTCTTTTGCTCTGCCTGGGATGGAGGACTTGACATTCTGTGAGTTCAAAAAAGTCAATTGCCTCTCGTGTATTCATCATAATACGAATTTAGACTCAATGTTATAATTTCATTTGTTGGCTGGATGTTTGTACTTATAATCCACAGGCACGTAAAGCGGTTCCATGTGGAACGTTGCCATGGAAAGCCTTGAGCAATGCTGTGGGTCCGTGTTCGCTTCTCACGGAGAAGGTACGTGTTTCCAAAATGGATGCAATGTGAGAAATCAGGCCTCTGGGTTTTTGTTGATGAAGATAGAATCATATTGAATATCCGCGTGAAAATGCAATTACATATATGTCCCATGCTGTAGGTAGCAAACACTACTTATTTAAAACCTGTGAAGATCCGGGTTAGAATTGGTCTTCAGCAACCCATGCTTGTCAGATGGTCAGGCTCGCGGACTTGTTTGACACATATTGCGTAGATCGATGCTGATACTGTTGATCACTAGATTGTCTGGTCCAGTCTCGATTATATACGTTAAACAACAAACCAACCAAACCAACTTGTTTAAAGTCGAGCAATGACACTGTTAGCTTATGTATATGTGCGTATTTTCTACAGTAATATGTCCCTGTGCATCATTACGAAATGCGGAATAAAGTCATGAACGTGATCGTGTTCAAATCATAATCAAATTCAATTCATCGAGTCGAACCTGCTTCATACGTCAAATAATGCATGTTGATTGCTTTCGAAAGCACGTCATTATTGCACATGATACGTTTTGATTTTTTCAAACTGCTTAACGCGGCACATAATATATATTGATTGGCCTTGAAACTGCCACAATAAGGCAGCTATTACATGTTGGTTGACCTAAGAACTGCTATAATACGGCAAATAGTACATACTGAATTACCTTGGCACTGTAACAATACGTCAAATGGTACATAATGAGTGACCTTGGATCTGCTACTCTACGTCAAATAATACATTTTGTGAGACCTTGGAACTTCTACTCTACGTCAAATAATACATTTTTTGAGGCCTTGGAACTGTTACTCTAAAACAAATAATACATATTGATTGATGTTGGAACTGCTGCAGTACTACATATTAAGTGACCTTGGAAATGCAACAATACGGAAAGTAATTATACATATCGACGGCGACAATACAGCGCATAGTAGACATTGATAGACATTGAATATGCCGTAATGCATGCAATGAAACGTACTGATTGGTCTTGAATGGTCTTAAATGATGCGTGTAGACTATGCCTTTACAAACGTAACAATATGGCACATCATACTTGACACAATTAACCTTTTAAAAAGTAATCGTTCTGTCGCAATGCAATCTGCATCTGTCTCCTGAGTGAGTGAGCGAGCGCGTGAGTTGAGTTTTACGCTGCTTTTAGCAATATTCCAGCAATATCACGGCGGGGGACACCAGAAATTGGTTTCACATATTGTACCCATGTCTGGAATTGAACCCGGACCTTCGGCGTACGAGCGAACGCTTTACCCACTAGGCTTCTCCTGAACATGAGGTATACACGTATAATGAATAGAACAAAGCCTCTCCCTTTCCTAGACCAATGACGTACGAGTATAAACAGACGTTCATTTATTATGTAAGGTAAAGTATTTGAGGCACGTATTAGAAGAAACTATTGGTGGATATTTATTTATCGAATGTATGTTATAAGATGATCTTGGTGAGCGAAATAAACACAGCTACGTAGATCGACAAAACGGGATAGGCAGAATATACAGTCTTCGATATACAACTATAAAAGAAGACGATGTATGATAATAATGTCTTTATTGGACACATGTATATGTTACAACTTGAGTGAGACTTTGGAAAGTCACCAAAGATCCTATGAGCACAGACAGTATACAATACGATATTGTGACTAATCTGGATTCATGTATATACATATACACAATTACATAACATACTGTAACAAGTTAATTCAACAATGTACTATAACGTTAAAGAGATGTCTGCATTGCATGCAAATAAATAAATGAAACATTTTTCTTCACCCTCTCAGTTCTAAATTGTAAACCCTCACCATAATTTTTTCATTGACATTTAAAAGATGGAAAAACACAAAAGTCCTAAAACGAATATTATATTTTGTTTCAGGATAATTCTTTGCCATGACGTTCCAAGACTGCTTCTGTTCCTATCATCAGATGAAGGGAACAAGAAGCAGCCTTGAAACATATGTCATCTTGACCCTTAAAGGTAGCACTATATATAACGAAACCTGCGTTATATTATACAGGAAAATGAACATGCCTAAGCTATCATACCACCAGGTGAATATGAGAAAGGTTAAGTATGAAATATGACGATGCCCCAATTGACAAAGACAACTTAAAAAAACACAGTAAATGCAGACATACATCATAAGTTTGATTGTGGTGTGAAATTTAAATGGACGTTTTGTGACTTCATAAACTTGATAATGTTCTAAGCCTTGAATATGAATGGAACCAGAAGATACTGATTTATCATTTCATACGTATATCTTTCTAATAAAAACTAAGCTGGTAGTCGGTGTACACTGTCCAAAAAGTCGGTATTCTTGGCGTTCAACAAAAATACAAATTTTATCCTGAATTTGATCACAGTGAATTTTAATCAAAGTACCGTGCACCTGCAGTTGTAATTAGCACGGTGAGCCAGTATTATTACGTGACTAAACCAAATGGAAAAAGTATGGAATACACCAAGCACAGTTTTTGGCCATATGACATGTCAAAGCATATGGACACCCAGTGGTTAAAAATGAAACTTCTTACATTGAATATAATCTAACAAAATTCACTTTTCGTGAACGTCAATATACGTCTTCAGTTATGATACAGAAAAGGCAATTTCCCCACAATCTACATTTTTAGTCAATTAATACTGAACTGGAGAATATTACATAACGTAAACTTTGCTGAACGCTCCTTATATGTTCAAATATGAAATGCATTATGCAGAAATGAAATGTGCCAATGCTACTATGAATGACTCCTTATATATCAATGTAGTTATATTTTGGCATTCAGAATATACTGACAGCATATTTAGTTTGAGTGATTACTGTCAGAAAATATTTTGTGTTTCATTTGAGCATTGAACAGTGTAGATGGCAAGATCAATTATCACTGCAATTTGTTGTAAGCACGGTACTGTGACCTTCAACGACTAACAACATCCTACAATTTTGTATTCGAACGAATGTATAACTGGATAACAACTGTACACATTCACGGCATGAGTGGCTTTCATTTTCTTTTTATCATAAGGTTACGAAGACGAAAATATTCATGAAATCATTGATGCGTTATAAGTCAATTAATTATTTTCATTGTCTCATGTCTACCGCGTGATATCATTTAGTTTTGATTTTCACTACTTAATCCTGGTTACTTCTCAAAATTGAACTTTTAGCACAACTTGAACGAATTCAGTTTCCTCATAAGTTAAACTTGTGCTGCAATGTTAACCCTTTTCATCCAAACAATAACAAAAAGATACAACGACATCTTCTATTACGATGTCTAATTGCATTTACAAACACACAAACCTTGTTTATTGTTATGACAAAACACTGCAAAGCACAGATTATTAATAAGTAGTGATTAGTATGCGACTCTTTTGAAACTTTGTTTGAACTTGGTTGCAAGAAACAAGGCTTCAATAAAACGTTATGCGGGGGACACTTCCAATTTCGACACATTTGTGACAAAAATGAAGAGAGTCCTATTTTGAACTGTACCATGTGTTCCCATGTTAATTTCATGTAAACAAGTACCACGCTTTTGTGTTCGTGACAGTGTCACGCGTGGTAAACCTTTTCGCCTACAGCCGGTATCATCACAATGTGTCAGTGACTCATAAACACATTCTGATGGTGTTGTCGGAATCACATAGCTGACTCTGCGTTTTGTTGATCTTTTTATACGTAAATAGAATTGTCCACTATTATTTACTCGTAATCGCAATGCATAACGCCTCTCAAATCAAACAATTATTATTCAAATCATGGTTACCCTTAAGAATTGCCCACAAACATGACACAGTGTTATAGTAACAGGGTAATATGGCACGAAATGCAGTACAACATAAATATTATATATACACATATATTTACAGAAAATATGTACAAAATGTACATGAAACATAGTTCTAACATCAAAATGTCTCTGAAAATGAAATATCGATTTTATTGGTGGATATGTAACGGGAAGGAACCATTAATCATCATTAAAACAGCTGGTTGAGTGTACATGTAACACAAATGACATTTCAGAACATTCCCTAACATGGTTCGGAAAAGGATCCTGAAATAATGAACACATAATCACAAATGATCATGAAATATGTTCTTATTGCATGTAATCGGGCACGCTAAACGTTCACTTTTTAACAAGACATCTATATTTTCTCTCAGCGATCACGTTTTGGAAGGACAACCATATACCTCTTGTATGTTCTTGGGTGCTGTTTTCAACAGCGTCTTATGTGCATTTACTGATAATGTCGAACACATCCTGGAGTAAAGAAGATATATATATATATATATATGATTACAAATAGGAACCTCCATACTTTGTATGGTCATGACCTGAAAAATGCATCATTTTGCCCAATGATGCACTATTGAAATATCTTTAGTTTTGAGTACGTTACGTGAAGAGGTTATTTCTGCTGCTCTCGGAGCCAAATGAGGCACGTTTAGAACGATACAAGTGAAACTGTTTTACACCGTTGTCGGTTCATATCTATACATTAGTGCAATATCGTAAACATCACCCGTGTCCTATTCATTTAATTGATAAGTATTGAGGGTTTGCCCTGGATGCCACTGATCGCAAAAATGTGTTTTTTTTTGTTCTTCTTAAGGTTAGAAGAACGGGCTTCTGAAAACAAGAGGGAGGACCAGAAATGACCGGAACAAACAACACATGAAAGTGAAATGTATTTAAGTCGTAGTACGCGACACTGCCCTTCAACCTGTACTATTATGGTACATTTTATAGACTAATAGACTATGTACATCCTTCAAAAATTTATATGTTTTGACATCCGCCATTATACACGAAGAAAGGGTTGACGATATAGAGGGATAATGTTTCTTAAATATAAGAAGAGTGTTATAATATATCATGTAAAAGTCAAATGCATTCTATGCATTTCAAAACATTTTTGTACGAATCACAAACAGTTTGACTCTTCTGCAATGCAACTCACACTGCGTTCCTTGCTGTGACATCCGCTTGTCCAATATTGTCCATATTGTCCTTTTGACGCACTGGTGATGCAATTAAACAATTGACAATTGTTAGGTGTTACGTTTGTTCACTTGTGTCGTGTGAGGCCATTGTTTGTGCAAATACAGATAGGAAACAGGATGGCAAGGTGCGGATATCACCATGTAAGATTTTCAACAGAAACAAAATTGGGAGTCATATCGATCATAAAACATGTATTAAATGTAAACAAATCTACTTCACAAAGACATGTTTATCTGTACAGTAATGCAAAATGTGCTGAACCATATATGGGACTTCATAATCAAAGACAATGATAAAGACAAAACATTTTGTGTGCAGCGAACGTTGACGGAAATTCATAAAAACATCATCTTACTTGCCCCTTTACTATTTTCCCAATCTCGATAACTTTCGAAATAACACACTTTTTTGCATATAAAAAGTACATGACAATTGCCGATGTGCTTCCAGTATATTTGCCACACAAACGGGTACTGAAATGCAACGGTTTGTAGTAACATGTGGACATTATCTTAGAATCTGTTTGTAAAGTATCATCAATAAAGTTAACGTAATAATATACGATTGTGATTTGAACAGTACTTGCCACAGTTGCATGTCGTGTAGGTGATTCATATGTGTAGGAAGTTGACCGGCAAAAGACAATTTTAAAAAAGGTCATACATTTTTAAAAACCCAGCAATGACAGTTTTCCTAATATTCCACTTTGTATCAATTGTCTAATCATACGATATCACACAAGGATGGCAAAGTTTGGTTTGGTGTTACGCCTCAAGCATCAAATATATATATCAAATTCATCAAAAATGAAATCAAGCATTATATCATATGATACATGTCATTGTAAAACAAGTCAGGCCTTGTCACATCAAAAACTAATATCAGTGTAATTTTGGCACATGGTTTAATAAAAAGCTGTTTGAATCAATGTATATGGACTATACATATGTGACATATCCTAACTTCGAGCGACAAAGATATAAATGATTAAGCAAGGATGCACCACTGAAGCAAGTCGCGTGCATGACCGAAAATATATTTGGTAATTTGGTAAATATACGTCATGGTGGGAAGACTACTTATGCTTCATAACATGTGTATTGATTGATTGCTTAATGTTCTTTTACTGTCAAAATGCATTGCTCTGTAGAATAATTGCCATATCGGACTACAACGATGAAAAAAACCCAAGTATATTATTTTTTGTGTTTTCAATTACTGTACTGTAAACACGCCATACATTATGTGTCATTTTACAACACAATTGTCATTGTGCCATAAAGAAACATCACTTCTGACAACAATACCCAAAGGTCAACTTCATCTTATCATCGGACGAGGTACCAAGAGAAGACAACTCTCATAAATCATTTTGCCATTTCTCAGTCTTGATATGCATACTATGAACCTCCAAAGCAAGCAAAATATGTGTGAATCCTACGCCACTACCTCTGCAATAGAAGCAGAATCTACTGACTTCTCTTCTTCCTCGTTGAGGACCACTTTTTTGTTGTATTCCACTAATAAACTGTGTATTTTTTCAAAGGTAAACCTCTCCTTTGGTTCCTGTTTCCAACTGCCTACCATGATATTGTGTATTGCAGTCGGACAGTCTTCGGGGCGCTGCAGGTAGATCTTTTCATCCAGAAAACGAATAACCTGAAATGAAAATGTTTTTGGAACCTAGGATGTTTGCGTTTCTCAGATTTTGACTGCAAGAGCATCTGCTACACACAGATCAAAATCCTTTTAATTTTCATAAGAGCAAATGAGTGAGCTAATATTGCTGAACGCCAGATCAGCAAATTTTGCAGCTATTCGCGGCAACCATAAACAGAACTTGCAAATGAAATATAATGTGAATACACAATATCATTTAGAAAGTGGTCAAATGTAACATGTGATATATATGGGAATACGCTTTCATATAAAGTACAGACTCTGGTACTTTTTTAAGGAAATCGAACCCACACTCTCATCGTCAGTCTTGGGAATCTAGCCGTAGAAGCTGCGATGGCTAAGTGGGTTAGGTTGCTGAACTTTGTGTGCTGGCGAACAGGTGATCGACTGTGACAATCTGGGTTCGAATCCCTCAATCCTCAACCTAACAAAAGTACTAGAATCATGAAAGTGTAATCCCAAATATAACATGTGAAATAAAGCGTGCTGTACTCCAGATCAGAGGATGGAGAGGCTTTAAGGGCACAACCCAAACTTCGATTCAAAAGAATGTTTATTTGGACAAATCATGGATTAGAACCATCGACAACCGTGTAAAGACTGCCGACTGATTGACCACTTACATAACGTACAAATCAAAAGAATATACATGCAAACTGTTGCTTTGGTAACAAAATTACGTTAAAGCATTGCATTTCCTATATGACTCACCTCCTCGTTAGAATGTCCGTAGTAGGGTTGGCGACCGCAGCTGAATATCTCCCATAACACCACACCAAAGGCCCATACATCCGACTCACTGGTAAAGCGGCCATACTTAACACTCTCGGGAGACATCCATCGCACTGGCAGCATCCTGCTTCCGCCAATCTGGAACCAGAGCCATCGAGATTTAGAAATGAGGGTCTGTCCACATGACAAACCACAGTCACAGCATATCGCAAAGAGTCTGAACTGTTGGCTGTGACAAACTGTTAGTCTTTGTGGTTTTCGGCAAATATACATGACTTTGTTCCCGCTCTCCGTAATGCGAGTATGTCCCTTCATCAAATGCCTATATCTCCTTGATATATGCTCGAGCTCTTTAGGGGAACATGAACTTTCAATTTGGATAGGAAGTACAAGCGTTAAAAGTTTCAAAGATAGACATCTTATGGACTCACCATCATTCTCCTTTATCACCCTAAGCATAACGCATCCCCATACAAATGTGTGGGGTGTCAGTCTTGATTTTGACGGTTTTCAAGAAGGTCGATAAATCACTGTAGACCATTAATTTTGACAATCATCTTGCATCACACAGTTGTTACTGTTTGTTTCTAGCCATTTTATTTGTTTTAAAATGAAAATTGTACACATGCAAACTTCACGTCATACACCAGTCATCATTCAAGAGCGAGTACTGTACAAACAACTATGGTCATAAGGAAGTGCAAGTGGTGATGCACTCTCAAAACATTCATTATTATATCAACATTGGGTTGAACCAGATATATCTCCCAAGATTTTCAATTGTAAATTAAAAATGAAGTTCCCATACTTTTTTAAATGAGTATATATATAATGCCAGTCATTAACTTGCTTCAGGGTCAACCCATAATCAGAGTCCGCTGATAGTGGGCTTTATTGCTGCATTAGCTCCAGTTATTATCGTTTTTTCATCAAAGTTTTTTTGGGTTGGTTTCATGACCATTGTAAAGGTGTCGGGCGTCTTTAGACTTTACCGGGGCGGTGGGGTAGGCTAATGGTTAAAGCGTCGGCTCGTCACGCTGACGACCCGGGTTCAAATTCCCACATGGGCAAAATGTGTGAAGCCCATTTATGGTGTCCCCCGCCGTGATATTGCTGGAATATTGCTAAAAGCGGCGTAAAACCCAACTCACTCAATCACTCACTCACTCACTCTCTTTAGACTTTACCCGTGAAGATCCGGTTTAGAACTCTTCCTTAGCAACCCATGCATGTCGTAAGAGACGACTAACGGGATCGGGTGGTCAGGCTCGCTGGCTTGGTTGACACATGTCATCATATCCCGATTGCGTAGATTGATGCCCATGCTTTTGATCATTGGATTGTCTGGTTCAGACTCGATTATTTACAGACCGCCGCCATATATAGCTGGAATATTGCTGAGTGCGGCGTAAAACTAAACTCACTCATTATAACGTAAGCTACAATGGATTGAATAACAGCATGCCGTTGTAGGTTTAAAGTGTCGCAACGAATTGCGACGTTAAACAACAAACCAACCTGCTAACTTTCGGCTTTAATCCAATATGGACACCACAAGGAACTTAAATCAAGGCCTCGTTGATCCCCCAAACTGAGACACGTTTATAACTTGAGACTCTTTGGACTATTGAGGATATCAAGCTCAAACGCTGAGATGAAGGGTGAAGCAAATTGACATAACTTTTTGGATATCTTTGGGATAGTGAACTTCAGTTAAAATTAACTTTTTTGGCATAACATTCATTAAAACCCACACGTCGATTTAACCTTGATTCCCATCGTACTGAGAGACATTCTTTAGGATACCAAATGGTCCTAGAATATAACTTGAATATGAAGTATGTACCCAGTTAACAGTTTCACGTAGTCACAACGTTACGCTCTCGTTGTTAGTCTGTGGACTCCCAGTTACGGTGTCACAACGTTGTGACCTGACGTTGTGATATCTCAGTTTTACGTAGCCACAAGGTTAAAGTTATTTTATGGTGACGTATTTACGTTGTCTTAACGTTCTATTTAACGTTAATAGTTGAATAGTTTTCCATGTAGTGACCATAAGAAACAAAGCAGCAATCCACTGCAAAGTTTATTCGTCAATTTGCTTGTTGTTTTGGTCGTGTGTTTTCTGAAGCTGAAGCTGAAGCTGAATAGTGAAAGGTTTTACAGAAAACTCTGTGGCACCAAGTTATAAAAAGTTGTTGTGACGTTGTGAGGAGCCCAGAGCATAACGTTTCTATACGTAAATTTACAAAGTTGCAAATGTCTAATATAAAGCTGATGAGGATACAGACTATGAGTTTGATAAAAATATATGTTAAAGACTTACTTTGTAATAGTCGCAAGTGTATATGTCACGGGACATTCCAAAGTCCGAAATTTTGACCACTAGACCTTCGCCAACAAGACAGTTTCTTGTTGCAAGGTCTCTGTGTACAAAGTGTTGAGAGGTCAGGTAGGCCATGCCATTTGCGATCTGGGTCGATATGTCGACCAAGTCATTCTGAAACATACCACATCATATCTGATAAATAATGTTTTATTGGCAAGTGCAGAACACATAAGCAAAAACATACTACGCATAAAGTATCAATAAATATTCTGAAATAGATATTCAACTTCAGCATAAAGAAATAAAAAAAGAGAAATAAAATCTGAAAAAACGTTTTTGCTTGTAAGAAATCTTAACAAATCTTTTCTTTTCAACACTGTCCTAGTTCTAAAAAAATATTTCAAATATAATTTCAACATTCAGATATTACACAAGCTTCTTCGCAAATGAAATTGTGTTCCTTTCCTTGCGTGGAAACACAAATATAACACTGAATTAAGGTTTCTTTGGTCTTATCGATTTAGGTTCCGAAATTTTCTACCAGACAGCATTTTCCACTTGGATTGTTCCGGCATATCATGGCTTCGCTTTTGTTTTCTCGAGGAGGCTTAAACATCAATTCCTTCTCTGCCTCAACAGGTACCAAATATGGTGAGAAAAATCGATCACTTCCGGTGAAGAATTGCCGCCAGATGGCGACACATGTTTCCTGTTTTATGTAAAAGTCGCGTATCTTCCGCATGATAAGGACTTTAGCGAGACCTAATAGTGAGGGCGATAATGATTGTTGTTTATATATGACTCCAACCTGTATTATTATATGATCATGTTCTGAGGAAAAGTGTAGATTTACTTGTTATTAACGGGTCCTTATTACGTTAATAGCAGTAAGAATTAGTTTTATCTTTGTTGCAGCAAGGAAATCTATCCCAATTTCGATAAAGATATTCGTTTATGTCTTTGATTTCCATATAGTCATCAACCTTTATGACTACATTACATACTACAAAGGCAGCAGGAAGCTGCAATCACTAGAACTGAACCCCACAACTAGTCATTCTGCGTGAAACGATGCAACATTTAAGCCGCCCTCCATTTACAGATTTTACGCATCAACAAATGTGTTAATTACTGGCTTAATGAACCTATTGTGATCAAAGAAAGTTGTCCTGTTATTCTAAATCAGTAACGTCAATCATAGAAATTGCAAGCGTAGTTGCAGCGCAAATAATTTTAAGCCAACTTCCACACGCTATCACGTTATATTGTTTAATGCATTTCTCCACGGAGAGTAATACGTCGGTCAGCGTCCTGGCATATAGGTTTAATTGAAGCCTTACCTTCTGTAACACAACACAGTCGTCAGTTTTTCTCAGAATAGGATCATTCTTTCGGAGAAGTTCAGCAAGATCTCCATATTCCATATACTCAAACACCATATATGGACTTTGGCCCACATCTGAAAAAGCAAATTTACAAAGACCGATTCAAAAGGCATTTTTACTTCTTAAAGCGGCGTAAAACGATACTCCTCATTCACTCATTATTACCTTTGTGCCATTAACGCTTGGTTCCATGAGTAATTCTATACTTCCCATCAAAAGTTTAGACTCACTAGTGTAAATATAGCCACTTACTTCAGGCAACTGTTCTAAACCAAATTTTGCAAAATATTCCATACTGTTTAAAGCACTGGTTACAGATGAACTGATGTATTGTAAAATATATTCGAAACATTGAGTATAGTCGTGAGTTCAATGATAAAAATTAGTGAAAATTGGCCAATTCTTCACAAAACTTTACACCAAAACGCAGCTATGCACATGCAAGATATTTGCACATGCTTTTCAGCAATTTGATGCATGGTTCTCGTGCAGTTCAACTGCATTAGGTTTAGATGCTTGATTGGCATTTTAGAAGATGATATTTGATGAACATAGAGATTTTTTCTGGGTTACATCTTCTTTTTATTCTCGAGTACAACGTTTCAGGGCTTGTTCTGGCCCCATCATCAGGTAAAACCCTGATGATGGGGCCAGAACAAGCCCTGAAACGTTGTACTCGAGAATAAAAAGAAGATGTAACCCAGAAAAAATCTCTATGCATTAGGTTTGCAGTTGGTTCCCCCAAGTTAGTGGAGAAATCAATCTTCGATGTAACCATATATATATACAAACCATATAGTGAGTGGTTTAAGTGAGTCTAAATATTTGATGGGAAGTATATTATAAATTTCCGAATACTATTAAGTCCTTCAAAATTTAAATTCTTGGTACCATTCACATATATTTTCAGAGCTCTTGAGCATCCCTACCTAACCTTTCGGAAAATATTGAAATTGATGTTGCTGCGGAAAACACGTATCGCTGTTGAGGATGTTTGTTTTGCACGTGGCTTTGAGAACTATATCAGTAATATTAGCGCTTGTCAGCGTTTACTGCTCTGTAGAAACACCAAAGCCAACAAAGACCAAGAACCCTCGTAAATCTGGTATTCACAGCAAACCATCGGATGGTTCTGGCACACTTAATTCTACACATCAAATGCATGCAATCGTTCGTAAGTAAGTGCACAGTTGTGCACATGTATTCGACACATTTCTTCCTGTTCCTGTAAACAGGTAGTTATTATTTAAACCATCCATTCAATAAACATGCACATGTTAAAGGGGCTTTAAGAATGTCGCAATCAATTCTCTCACAGACATTCCAAAGCGTCACAGCTGTATGCATATATTCTTACCAAAGATCTAAAGCCTCTGTGACCCCAATTCCCTCAGCCAGAAATGTAATACAGGAATTAAGCCTACTGGCGCCTTCCCACTCTAGCAGTAATTCTCGCGTGAGGTAGAAGTTTGGCCGAGATGTTTTCCTATTCAAAGGTAATGTCATTTCCTATTTTGTCACTGATCCTTGTCAGATGTAATTGGCAAAAAGTGTTCATATCTATTTTCAACGTATTTGGTCATTTGTACTCTGCAGATGTTTATGGTGTTCAAAGCGGTCTTTTTAACAGAGATATTGACACGATATAGGCTATTGGATGTTTGGTTGCGGGTGGCAATATATACTAATGGATCTATTCTTCATCACAAAGTATTACTGTCACCTTACTATCATTTACAAGCAAAATGTTTGTTGTTAAAATCCAAATATACTTGCCGGAGATAAATTTCGATGCTCGCAGTTAAAAAGGTAGCACATGTTATATTTTGGGATTACGCTTTCTTAGTAAAGTACAGATTCCAGTACTTATTGTTGGTTTGAGTCCCATCCGGGATGACCTTTGAGTTTATATGATGTAAAATCACATATAAAAACTTTTACATAACAGTTCCCACCAACTTACTTTGGGTTACAACGCCAATAAGGCGCAGTATGTTGTCATGGTCGAAAGCGCTCATTATCTCCACCTCTCGTTCAAAATCCGCTCTAATTTCACTGCACACGCCATCCTTCAGGACCTTCACTGCAACCTTTGTTTCACAGTTGGTCTCCGTGTTGAACAGGTTACCTATAGTATATAACAATGGTGGTAAGGTTCTCTGGTTGTTGGATGTATGTTCACTGACCTTAGTTATGTCGAAGTCAATTGAACCATTTTGGGACACCCATGTGTCGATATTAATCAGAATGTCAGATTATACATACGATGTAGCGACAGTTATGTTACTAGACGATATATAGAGATATAATGAGTATAAAATAACTTGGATTCGTACGAAAAGAAATTTTGTGTTCCAAAACCTAAAAACTTACTGAAAAAGCCCCCCATCAACCGCCCCCCCCCCACAAAAAATAATTTAAAATAAACAAAAACAACAACAACCCACCCCCCAAACCGAGCAGTTTCGTATTGAGCAGTGGAAATCGTTGTGATGTACAATTAAAATGTTACATATGTATTGTAAGTTCAACTGATAGTTAAGCGTATTTATTTTCTAAACTTATAGATCGCTTACCTTTAAAAACCTGTCCAAATGCTCCTTCTCCAACCACCTCTACCAACTTGAGATGTTCCAGTGGGATTTCTCTGACGTATAGTTCCTTCCCTTCCCCCTCCATCGTGCAATGACGTGAAATATGTGGGATTTTTACTTATGATATTCATGCGTTCTAAAAGTTGGACATTGTCACTGTTCTTCACAACACCTTCTGAGCCTCGTTTTGAGTTTCTGCTGTGGCGCCATCTGCGCATGAAGACCAAGAGCAAGACGAGGAACAGGAACAGGAAGAAGCCTACCGGAAGTGCTATCTGAAGAACCCTCCAATCAGGTTCTCGCTGGATTGGTGCATTTTCAGTCAAACTGGACATGGTAGTCTGAGAAACAAACCAGCTATTATGTTTTCACAATGATCATGCTCGAAAATCATAAATGTGCGAGTTAATGTGAATTGTTTGAGGGTAAAAGTGGCGTAATAGCACAATGAATGTTACTGCTTTGTTTAAAGTATATTTTGCATCTATTATCGGTCACACATTTATATAACCCGTGAAGATCCGGGTTAGAATATTGATCTTCAGTAACCCATGCTTGTCGTAAGAGGTGACTAACGGGATCGGGTGGTCAGGCTCGATGACTTGGTTGACACATGTCATCGGTTCCCAATTGCGCAGATCGATGCTCATGTTGTTGATCACTGGATTGTCTGGTCCAGACTCGATTATTTACAGACCGCCGCCATATAGCTGGAATATTGCCGAGTGTGGCGTAAAACTAAACTCACTCACTCACACATTTATATCATTAGTGAAGGCTTAAAAGGAAAGCTTGTTTGTTTTTAGTCATCCTCCCTATCCCCCACTCGAACTCCTGCTGGTCCATCACCACCCCTTCAAGTTCACACCTACCAGAACTACCTTGTTTGTCTTCTGAATTAAAGCCCAATACAGCCATCCATAATTACAGATACAGTGTCCCAGTTTCACAAGGTTAATTACAACGTCTGGAGCTTGACTTGAAATAGGAACCAGGGTGACTCAGCGGCATGGGTAGTCACCAATGGCCCAGTCAATGGCTACGATGCAGTGTTGTATCTCGATGGTGTTTTAGAAGTGTGTGATGGTGAGTTTCGAATCCCGGTTGCTAACGTTATAATAGACATGCTCGTGACCACAGGTTTAAAAAAAAAGCGGTAGACGACAAAGATGTTCATCCCTTCTGGCTTTTCCCCATATCAAGATGGTCAACACGCAATTCTAAAACTAAAATTCAGAGTAAGTATATGGACATAAAGTCAAACGTTCACATGCCAATAATGAAATGATATCTTACGTTTGCTGTGCTTGCCTGTCCATGTTTGACGATGTTATGCAGCTGATCATTGTTGATGATTTCAGGAGACCCGTTGTGAGCTGTGAAGAATGACAAGATAATATAATTCTTTTAAATTGTGTGTTTGCACAATTTGTAACAAAAATTCAAAAATATCTCGTGTTGCTGTTGGAAGTAATGGCATTACGTGTCATAGGTGTTTTCAGATATTTTACACGTTTGAAGGCTGGTAAGAGAACCTTCAAAGATCAAATAAGTCTCTCTCAAAGTATCTGTTTACTGGCAGTATGTTGAAATTGGCAACAACAGAAGATAATCTCCGATATCTTCCGAATCAAATTATCTTGCGTGTACAGGGGACAGAGTAATTACAAATATCAGTGATAGAACATCAGTTCTGGTGTTCGCCAAATGGGACACTTCTCCACCTCTGACGTACCGAGAAATATGGACGCCATAACCTTATACTGATGATATAGTGCTCGACATGAAGAGAAAATGCGGTACAACAACAATCCTTTTGAATTTATTCTCTCAAATATGAAATTTCAATCAACAAATGAATCTATGACAAACTTTAAGGTTATTGTATCATTATTTTACATGATTCTCCATTTCATCTCCTGACAGATATTTTGCTCTGGATACAATTCGATCTGAGTATATTTCGCCAAGTGAACTTGGACCCATCATTGAGCAATCTATATGACTGTTCTTGAGCCTGTCAGCTTCATGTCTTTACCAGTTTGGTTGGTGGCAAATTTGATCTAAACAAAGCCGCCATAGAACACATATCACCAACAGAACATCCAGTTGAGTCTACATGTAAATGCAATGACTCTCAGCATCGGGAGACGTTAAACACATCGACGCTCACTGGCTTTTTGTCCTGTCCTGAAGATTATAAGGAGTAAACTATTTGATGCAACTGATATTTAAATGGTTTAGAGCAATGGTTGTCGTAATATACAACAACGGCTTGCACAACAGATAAACAGATAAAAACAAACAAACAAGCAAGAAAACACATAAAAAAACAAACATGATTCTTCGCTGAAAACAAATGATTCTATCATACATGGCTGCATTGTCTGAAAGGGAATGGAAGGATAATCCAAATATATTTGAAGCGATGATTATTGTCATTATGTAAATATGCTCTCAAAGAAGTCATCAGCCATCCATTCATATACTTTCCCCCACTATTTGGGTAGGTGGGTTAGCCTTGTGGTTAAAACATTATCTCGCCACGCCCAAGACCCGGGTTCCATTCCAAAGTGTGTACCATGAGTGAAGACCATTTCAGGTGTCCCCTACCGTGGTATTGCTGGAACGTTACTAAAACAATCTTCACTCACTGACACCAGATAAAGAAGGCGTACAAGCAAGTACGTAATTCCTTAAATTCTTCCTTTAATTTCACTGATAATCATGTAAAAATGAAGCCCTCTATCGGTAAATCAATTGTGATTATGAATAAAGGTTTTACTCCAAATTTAGCCTGGAATGTAATAGCCTCTGTTATTAATATATACTCATGCCAATAATGGTTGTCACACCCTCCCCACCCCACCCCACACCTCACACCCCACCCACACCCACTCTCCAATTAAAAGAATTGAAGGGGGTGACAACCATTATTGGCATGAGTATATGTTTACTGAACGCCGTCACACAACGTTTAAATACATGACCTTTTGGAATGCTAACTGATGACGCAATGTTCAGGTAAATGTAATATACACCAGCCAGTGCCAGATTACTCTGTGAAATAGGCATCAAAAGACCATTGGTTCACATGAGACACACTTCTTTTGATGCTATGAAAAACAGATCCTCCTCTCGACCGCTTGAAGGCGATTCTATGCAATTAATCCGATAATGAAACAGCGTTTCACAGACTCTCAAAGGAATTCCATGTTCATTTAATATGATGACAGTATAACATGAGAGAGTACGCGGTGGACCATATAATAATAAAAAGCAGTGTAAAATGACCATATACACAAGAGGTGTCCTGTACCTAAGTATGGTTGTGGAACCAGATTGTGAATACAGCCCTTATGTGAATGTGAATGTGAAATCCTGACCATTATTTGGCCGGTTCTTGCGGCATATCACCACTGTACAGATCATATTACATTACCGGATAATCAATGGAACATCTTCACTAGAATATTGCAGACCATGGCAAAGGACATGTTCAAATACATGTCATGCAATATTCACTCTTTCTGTAATTTGGATTTTGCCTGAATAACTAACAAGTGTTCATAAATCACTCTCACATAGTGATGAGACCAAGTGTTCACGAAAACTCAACAAATTCTGACCCATCTGTCACAAAAACATCAACTATTCAACTATGAAAAAAAAGAAATATCTGATACAAGTTACAATAAGGAATTGCATCACACATCATTCTGACACTGATATGTCAATTGACTGACTGACTGACTGAGTTTGGTTTTACGCCGCTTTTAGCAATATTCCAGCAATATCACGGCGGGGCACACCAGAAATGGGCTTCACTCATTGTACCCATGAGGGGATTCGAACCCGGGTCTTCGGCGTGACGAGCCAATGCTTTAACAACTAGACTACCCCACCGCCCTGTGTCAATTGAAAAAAGTTACTATGGCCTTGAATGTTGTAACAAGAATTAAACACTTTTGAGCAAATGACACTATTTGAAACCTTTCTAGAAAGGGCATGCTCGGCTGTACCTCAAAAGTAATGTAAACACTTGTTTGGCGGTGTCTGCTTGAGTATTGCTCGGGAAAGCTGAATATTGGGAAGCGGAAGCTATCCCACTTGTGCTACGGTCTTGGTGAGAGTAATCGTCACTCTGAACACGAACGCTTACATCTAAATGTAACGGAAAAGAAGCGCTTCACTAGTCTCTCTTATTTCTTGCTCAGATCGATACATCATTGGAAGAAAAAATGGCTAAATGACCATCATTGAATCACAGCAGATAATTGTAGATTAGTAAACATATTAGTAAGTAAGCATCTTGCCCAAAGTCACTTGTTTCGTTTCTTGTTTTCATTTTGCCAATCCGAGCAGAAAGTCTCATTCGTATGCATAACAAACAGAGCAGAGAGAAGAGATGGGGAACAAGACTTGGGTCCGGAGGATGTCTACTACTTTCCTTGACGTTCTATCCCCAAATTCCCCATAGGTGTTACATGTGAGAGACTCCCGAGTTTCACTAATTAAACTTCATCAAGGGATTCTCGGATAGAATTGTACGTCAGCAAATTTGCATGTCGTAGCGAGTGATTTTATGGATTGAATGGTCTGGTGTAACTGACTTTATATGGAGAACTAATCTGCAGTTGAACTATAGTGGTAATGTGGCAATGTCATGCACGGTATGTGATACACAACTTGTTATAAATACAATTTGTTTTGTTTGAACGTATTTGTCAACAGTGTTAGAGACCTGAAAAATATAATAAAATCATTCACATTGAAATGCAGATATTAGATGTCATCAAGAACAACGGAGCAATGCATGTAAAAGGACGTTTTGATGCAATCAGGGATCATCGTGATCAAATGGATTTTTTTGTACAAAATAGAAATGTATGATAGTAATCAGGCTGTCTATATGCAGATACATTCGCGAGAAACATCCAGATACACCAGCCTAAAGCTGATGGGATTTTATAAGAACAATCCATTTTTATTCGTTTGCAGCGGTTCATAAATCCTGCGTGGATGGTTACTGCTATACGAGAGGAAATTGTATCAAACGCCTCTGTTAGGCATATTCCAGTAATGTCATGGCGGTTCAAGGTATCTGAGTGTGCATCAGGTACATCGCTGTAGAATGACACAAAATCAGCCCATTCACAGAACCTGACCGACGATTCCTATTAAAGTATGTCCTTACGATTAGCTTGAGACATTAGAGACCTATACTGACCTCTTGACCTATTTGTTACACATATACGTTAAGTAGCTCAAATAAAATGTTGAAAAAGGGCATTGTTTAACTGTTACCTTGACAACATGCAGGTGTCTCTCTCATCCATTACTATATTTAGGTTAACGAAACCGTAGGATTTTAGTTTACGTCTTGAAGTGTCCTCCAAAGATCAGGAGATGTATTATCATATTTTTTATGATTTTTCCAGGCCAACTTGCAAAGGGATTAAAACAAAACCATTCAGATTTAACCAAGAACAAAGGAAATGTGTACTGAAACTGTAACTGAAATAATGACTACAATTTTGGAATGATTACAGAATTTAAATGATACCTGTCTTCAGTTTCAGTAAACATTGTTTAAATGAGGATGTTGCCAAAAGAACGCTGTGAGTCTTTGGTTTCTCGTACGTTTGTAACAATTCAGTTAAGAAAAACACATATTAACTGGCCAACATCACCAATTATTTACATTTACATACACAGGGAATATAAATATGTAAAGGCTTTCACTGCACTGGCAATACGACCATGGATATCTTGCCAACAATGTCAGTTTCTGTGCTGCAAAAGACAACATGTGAAGAAAATAAGGCATGCTCTCTGGAACAACTGATGGAGTTGCCAGTGTTTTATCACAGCCTGTATTCGTAACTGATCATCACCTGACAGCAAACATTCAAACCAACCCCGAGAAATAACGCCTCTGTATCTTGCAGTAGATTTCTCCATGTTTGAAAAGTGTCCATGAGAAAGCATGGGACGATTGATTCATCCCTATCATACAGTAACAAGGGGCCACATGTCTCAATGGTATTGCAGGATCCATTCAAAACTCGTCTCATTAGTTTGAGAACCCACTGCAATAGACGCTCAACGACTATCAAAGATTGGTTCTGTTTTGCCCTTTAGAGTCTGATGAGCTGCACTGTTCGAAGTTCACGGGGAGGTAGGTTGTCTTGTATGCGAACAGCAGACAGCACTGATGGCACTTGTTTCCTTGACCCGAGGCTATTATATATAGAATCTGCACATGGGAGTATTGGCCGGCTAGACATATTGCTGTAGTTATGGTTAAGCGTCTGACATAAGGAAGGGCTGATTGATCGACTTCAGCATACCTATGGCTCATCCATGCTCATAA